GTTTACTTTTTTTTTTTCATTGGCCCTAATCCTCTTCCGTATATATAGCTTGTTTCGTCAATGAACTGATTTAGTAAGATTAATAAGGTTCTAATTTATTGAAAATAATTTTTTTGATTCAATAAAAGCCTCTAATTGATTCATACCCATGCTGAGCCCATGAAGTGTCTAGCAACACTTTAAGTTTTGATGTCAACTGGTGGTTTTTCAAATGTTGCTGAACTTGTTTCATTTTCAAATGAGTTCCTAATAAATTAATCCATCCATCCATCCATCCATCCATCCATCCATCCATCCATCCATCCATCCATCCATCCATCCATCCATCACCCTTATACCTGCTGGGGTTGCAAAGGGTACTGGTGCTATCTACAGCTGTAAGGGTGAGATCAAATGAAGTCAACTTGAATAAAAAACAAACATAAAAAATGGCTATTTTGAAATGTTAATGCAAATTCTGTTGTACAAAAAGACAACTATGACTAAAGGTTTTACAGATAAGAAGCAAATTGGTAAGAAAACCTACACAGGTTTAAGAAAAACAAAGATTATAAGACGACAGGAAGCGTCATGTAGTATTGATGTCAGGATTAAGCATAAAATTGGGTTAAATTTAAAAAAAATGTTTGGTTGTAGTGTGTTCCTACATTGTTTTTTTTTTAAACTGATGGATGAGCTCCTATTTTTGTTTGGACTCATCCCTCCCCTTCCACTTGTTTAGCCCACTTTTTTACTCTTTACATCAAAGATGACGTCTGAGATTGTTTTTACGCTTTTATATGGTGTGGGTTGAACAAAACATATATCATCACCAAATCAATCCCTAAAATCAGCGATGCAAGGCTGTGACTATAGCTGGAGCCAAATGTAGGTCCCCTGTCCTACCAGCTGTACCGCATCCATCTTTTTCCTTAAACATATGCAGACAGTAAAAAAAAAGAGGCATTTTGATAACATCTTAAAGTGTTTGGAAAATATGCTTATTTAGTTTAAATTAGGACTGAGCAGTAGTTCTGCCTTAATGAGTCACAGCCATGCAGAGTAAACCAGACCAGTGTTGTGCACAAGTAAACTGAAAACACATCATGTGCTAGGAGCAGAGGTCAGTCGGGCGTAATAATGTTTCGTGTCTGCTTCTTGTATAAGAGTTGTTTTCAAGCCGCGGTGACTCACAGCTTACAGCTTTTATAGTGCTTCAGTTTTAGGGAGAAATTATACAGCTTGTATTAGAGCTTATGTTTATTTTTTTTCCATGAACATAAAGATGTTTGGGTGACCAAGTAACTTTGACCGGTGGTCATATTATGTTTTTAAAAAGCTGGGTGTGAGATCCTTTGTGGTCGGATTGGAATTCTGTTTTCAGAGCGGCTTAATTTTTCCTCTTTAATGTGTTTGAAGCAGCGCTGCTGTTCTACAGTGTGTCTGCTGACAAGCTTCCTCTTAAAAATGTCTCATCTACTATGGAGTAGGGACTTGACTCAATCCATACGTCTTTCACGATAAGACAAGGAGTGGAAAGAATGTGGATATCCCTGTATTTGAAGGCATGATTGGGGGTATAGGCTAATGTGAAAAAAAACAAACATGGAAATTTGGACTGATTCCATCCCCATCCATCTCCCCCCACCCCTTCCTCCTCTCTCCCCTCACTCTTTCTTTCTCTATCCTGTCTGGGTTTTCAGAAATGTGTTTCTCGTTGTCTGTCCCAGCACTTAAAGCTCTCAATGTGCCTGGTAGGCATATTTTTCACTCTCCAAAACCACGCAAAGCAGGGCTTAATTCCACCTTCTTTTCCTCTCAACAATGCCTGCGTTTCCCAGAGTCGTGCTGAACTTTAATCAAAGTCCAAATGAGAAAAACACACATGAACAATTTCCATATGAGCGTGCACACTTTAAGAATGATTGTCCTATTTACAGCAGGAGGAAACAGCTCCTGTTTTTCTATAGGATCATTTCCATCTCTCAAAGGACACCTGGCCCTTTTCAATGTTATGATAACTTAATTATATGCATAAATTATACTTTCTGGTCATCTGCGTTCAGACAAAGTATTTAAGCATGCAGTATAAAGGTTGTTTTAAGGGTAAGGATTTAAATAAAAAAAAACACTGTGCAACTAAATGTGATGCTTTGGATCTGGAAAAGTGGATTTAGTTTACATTGATCTATGCAGGTATTAACATTGTATGTTTTCCATTTCCAAGCATCTAAATAAGGCAAAGCAATACCAGAAATATGAGTTTTTGCACCAGATGTTTGTCTCGGTGAGGTAGGTGAAGCTGCATTCGGATGGTGTGACGTTAGTACCAGTTAAGTTTTTTTTTTTTTACATTGAGGACCTTGAAAATAATTCAAACTCCTTGAACTTTTTCCACATTTTGCTCCTGAGAAAATTTTACATTTAATATAATCAGGTTCTTTGCAAAATAGCTCGATTGGTTCTGCTGAGAATGGCAGCAGCGTTCGTCCTCAATTTATGCTTGTTTGTACAAGATCAGCTTTACTTTTCTGTTGCACATGGTGTTTAAATGGTGCTCAATACAAATCCTTGCAAAGTTTCTTAATTTAAATAATTTGAAAAGCATTTTCAAATTTTTGTGTTGGTGTTTTACATAGAATTGATGTTTGTAACTTAACACAAAGTTTAAAAGTTCAAGGACTATGAATAGCTTTTGCAGGCACTGAGGTTATGCTTTATAGAAATACAAATCTGTGTTCCCTAAATCCCTTATTTACAGAGTTTGTGTCTGTTCCTGCAAACTGCTGCTTGGCCTCTTTCCACTTGTTGACTTTTTTCCATCTAGGGTCAACCTCTCGCTGCTGATGTACGGTTTAAAGCAACAACAAAAGAATGAGTCTTGAATTTGCAGGCCCTGTTTTGGGTCAGTACTTCTCGCAGCCTCAGTCTATGGGCCGGATCAGCATGCGAACGGACTTCATGGAGTAGAAACCGCCGCCGTAGTCGGCCCAGAAGATCCCGTCCTGGAATTTGCTGCGGTACACTCCTCCGGTGTACCAGACACCGTTAAGGTTAGCTTGGCCACAAGCGTTGTACCACCAGCCTCCTTTATGGAAATGGGCACAGTTACCTGGTGATGGGAAACAGGAGGATGGAAAAGTTAATGGGAAGGTGGGTTTTTAATAGAAAGAGCATCTTATATAGAGACAGCACAGAAAAAAATCAGCTTGACGAGAGGTCTAAAACTAATGGATGTGCTACTTCACTAACATAGTCTGTGTTTACGGAGCTTCTAGGGATCAGGACAGTGTTGACTGAGGTCAAGCATGATTGATTTCCAGGGGGTAGGGACACAGTTTGGAAAAAAGTCATAAGGAGGTTATTTACTTTACAGCAACAACAAATAATCTCCTTGTCACCTTGGTGAGCTTTGGCATGCTTACGGCGCAGAATGAAAAATCGGCAAAGGTCATGGATCTGAGTGAGAGATCATTGTTTGTTTTTTTAAAGGAAGTGAATGCTTTGCTTAAGGCTTCCTGGGATTCCAGGCAGGCAGGGGCTGACCCACGTTACATTCAGGGTCTGTCAGAAAAAAAATCATGAGCAGAACTTCAATGCCTCTCAGCTAGTTTCCATGATAAACATCCCTGCCTTCATGTTCAGTTGCTGAGATACAAATTACAACATAACATAAAGTGATTTGCACAGATTTTTTAATCAGCATGTTTAGTAATTGATTTAGTTTAATCAGCCATTTACGTTTGTAGTGCTCTTGTCATTATCACTATATAATTGGCTCACTACCAAAGAATTCTGCTTCATTTTGAACTCTGTAGAAAAACAGAAGTGCTGCTGTTGTTTACACAGCTTTTTACAGAGAAGTTAACTCAATTTCCCTTTTATTTTGAATAATCTCACTCTTTGGATTGCTGCTTGACCTTTTCCCTGGCTAGACTTTGACTTAAATAACTTTTATTATCCTTTTCATTTTCTACAGCTTTCAGACAGTGAATTAGCAGCAGCTTAGCAGTGAAATTAACATTTCCATTCCAAAAAGTGCAGCAGAGATCAAATGACTAACCTGACAAATAAAGATTTATTACAGCAGTTTTTTAAAGAGGTTTAAGCCAGCAGTCAATTTTCTATTCTGGTTCTTTCCTTTACACTCCCGTAAAGACTTCAGTTGAGTACAAACACCCTAACC